TTTTTGGTCGCTATAAAAATTATTTTAATTAAAAAACTTTTCTACACTGTTAATTTCGGGGAGTTAATTTAACTCCGGTGGAGTTATACTGTACCTCAGTTAATTCCAAATGTGGAGTAAAATTAGGTTCAGAGCGTTATGGTCAATTTTTGGTGGTCATTTTAATTCAAACTCGCTTATAAAAATTATCTTTTGGTCGCTATAAAAATTATTTTAATTAAAAAACCTTTCTACACTGTTAATTTCGGGGAGTTAATTTAACTCCGGTGGAGTTATACTGTACCTCAATTAATTCCAAATGTGGAGTAAAATTAGGTTCAGAGCGTTATGGTCAACGCTCATTTTTGCTGGTCATTTTAATTCAAACTCGCTTATAAAAATTATCTTTTGGTCGCTATAAAAATTATTTTAATTAAAAAACCTTTCTACACTGTTAATTTCGGGGAGTTAATTTAACTCCGGTGGAGTTATACTGTACCTCAATTAATTCCAAATGTGGAGTAAAATTAGGTTCAGAGCGTTATGGTCAACGCTCATTTTTGCTGGTCATTTTAATTCAAACTCGCTTATAAAAATTATCTTTTGGTCGCTATAAAAATTATTTTAATTAAAAAACCTTTCTACACTGTTAATTTCGGGGAGTTAATTTAACTCCGGTGGAGTTATACTGTACCTCAATTAATTCCAAATGTAGAGTAAAATTAGGTTCAGAATAATACCACTGGAGTTAAATTAACTCCCTGAAATTTACAGTGTATTTTCCTTTTAAGAAACTATTCTACTATTCTACTTCCGTTGTAAAATAAAAATAATAAAAAATTTGGTAAATACAATCTTCAATCATCACCCTAAACATTTTTGCTTAGATTTTTTTTTTAAACTATGCCTTCCCAAACTTCGTACCAGGGCCTGGGTACGAGGTTGCCCTCTCCCTTCGAGATATTCACCCAAAGCCTTGGTTGGCCGTAATGGGGTATTTTATGATTGGCACTGCCTTTATAAACTCAATCGCAACAAAAAAAGGCGTTGTCCAATGAAAACGCATTACATCATCAAGTCTGACAGTGATTGGTTGTGTTGTATCACGTCTATAAACTGTGGTTCAATGATAGCTATCATTTCAAAACGGCTATATTACACGTACATGATTGTTGTAGACTGTAGAAATATATAGTACAATTATCTCCAACTATTTGAAAGATATATTCTTAATAATGACAAAGGTATATAGCATACCATATTGGCTATACACCGGCATGAATGTAGCTATATGGTTTACTTTGTTTCCCTCCAATCATACGTAAAATATACGTAGAAATTCACATACCCATTCCCTAAGTAGAAATCTAAAAAGTTTAACATCCATATACATTACATTTAGGCCTCGGTTGAACCTGTGAATTCAGCCGCCAGCCGCAATACATTACTGATTTCGAAAATACAGCTACCATTTTTTGCGCGATCTAGTAAAGACTAGATAAAATACACTAAGGATGAATTTGCATAAACGACAACTTTATAAACGACAACTTTGGCTTGATGGAAATAATATGCAACTACCTCAGTCTATATCTGAAAAATACAAACGTCGAAGTTCTCCTTTGGTTTCAAGTCACTTCCACACAAAGCGACTTCGCTCGAAACGTCGAAGTTCTCCTTGCATTTTTCAAGTAGTTGCATTTTATTATTGGCACATTGGCACAGAACCGTTCTGTTTACACGAAGCCTAACTATAAGCAGAGGTGGTTTGTGATATTCTGCGATGCTCGTTGTTTTGATTGGAACTTAAATAACGGCTACAAAACCATTTGAGATGTTGCGCACAATCTCTGAAGTAAACTGGTCAGATTTAAATGGTGTGCGATAATACACACACATTCCTATGGCGGCCATTTTAACACTTATAGAATTAGAGAAGTAAATGTCAGTCGTTTCAATTGTACATAGTGTACACTACAGATATACGTGATTTTTGCATTCTGTCTAGGAAAGAAATGTATACTGAATCTCTCTTGAATAAAAAATATTTCACGTAATGGTAGTAATGAATGTCTTTAAGGAGCGTACTAGAAGATAATGTTCAATTAAATAAAGTGCTAGTGCGGGAAGAGATCATGAACGTATACTCTTATAGTGTATACAACCACAACTGTTTGATACAATCTGCGCTGGTTCATGCGACACTGCACATATCTATATTACGAGCATTGCCGATATTGGCAAAATTGTAGACAGTAAAAATGTGAAAATACCATTGTTAGCGCGCCGCACTGTATTACATAGAAACCAGGCGGACCTTGTGATGTAGAACGGCAACGCGGGAACGACAGCCAAGACGATTAATCACTCATTCAAAATTGTAAATTTGGGTTGAATTTAATCACAGATTTAATACAGTTCGAGATAAAATAGGTGCTTAGCTGTTGAGAAAAGATCCACTTTAGTAACGTGCCCAGTGTCAGTGAGCAATCTGAGCAATTTCTCCAGGCTTGAAATGCAGATTTTTTGTACTCACAAGACGTAAATATCCGTAGTTAGATCGTGGAATAAAGCAGAGGCAGAGCGACGTCTGGCATTATTAATTTATTTTCTTCAACTATTAACAATTTCACATTGTATTATTATCCGTCGTGGTTACGTTGTCGTCCTACATCGCAAGGATTCGTATATTATCCAAAAATGTTAGCTCCAAAAATATTCCAATTTAAAATAAGAAACTTTTTGTCAACAAGGGTAAAATCATGCAGGTACCGTATGAAATATGAAACCGTATTTGAGATATGAAGTTTAGAAAATATTTTATCCCAACAAGGTAATTACTATATATGGGTATGTATGCAAAATGTATTAAATCTCTGGATATATACCACCAAACTGTATATACCCATTTATGGTAATAGAATGTGATATGTCAAAATACTTATTATAGTACTTATAGATATAATTTTGTATATATGTATGATTTTTATATTATTAAAACACCCCTTTGTAAAACTGCAAAGTTGTATGTTGTGCTTCGTATTCAAGAAAGAGCGATAGCAACAGTACAAAACCCAACAACTGTACGTATATATTTGGCAACTCTGAATAGAAATATGTGGAACAATGTGAACGTATTATGACTGTTTGGAGGCATGCATAAGGCCACAGTGGCTGCTGCCAGTGTTGATGCCAGAAATGCAATAATCCACCAAGAACAAGACTGCATGCAAGCTCTGGCAGAACTCGTATAATGAAACACTTTATACATGTCGCTATGTACGGTATATATTTAACAACCTATGAACAGAAATCGTACTTTTAAATTTTGTATTTGACTTGATGTTGGTATTTCTGTTTGAATTAATTTTGAAGCATATTATAGACTTATTGTATTCGGTTTTAAAATTGAACATGGTCATGGATACTACTAGTGGTGTGGTTTCGACATACAAAAATACATTGAAATAAACATTTATAGAATAACATTTTCGAAAACCTTACAATATATACATCAACACAACTCACAAGATCTGAAGTCATCAACACATGCACGCAGTTCTACGAAACAAAAGTCTGAACTTGATCAACAACAAGAAATATATACGACAATTTGAACGATATTGTATTTGTGTACTATATATATGTATGAGTAGGGTTGATAATGAAAGAAGTATATAGCAGACGATGTTATGTGAAGCTACTCTGAATGGTGCGACACTGCGACACTGGGCAAGCTGAACATTTGCATGATCGTGGTGGCCATTGGGTCCATTGGCCAAGGAACCTGATTGGAACGTAAATGACGGGTACAAAATAATCATTTGAGATAATGTTGCGCACAATCTCTGAAGCAAACTGGTGATTTTAATGGTATACGATAATACACACACATTCATATGGCGGCCATTTTAACACTTATAGAAGAGAAGTAAATGTCAGTCGTTTCAATTGTACATAGTGTACACTACAGATATACGTGATTTTTGCATTCTCTCTAGGAAAGAAATGTACTGAATCTCTCTTGAATAAAAAATATTTCACGTAATGGTAGTAATGAATGTCTTTAAGGAGCGTACTAGAAGATAATGTTCAATTAAATAAAGTGCTAGTGCGGGAAGGGATCATGAACCTATACTCTATAGTTTATACAACCACAACTGTTTGATACAATCTGCGCTGGTTCATGCGACACTGCACGTATCTATATTGCGAGCATTGCCGATATTGGCAAAATTGTAGACAGTAAAAATGTGAAAATACCATTGTTAGCGCGCCGCACTGTATTACATAGAAACCAGGCGGACCTTGTGATGTAGAACGGCAACGCGGGAACGACAGCCAAGACGATTAATCACTCATTCAAAATTGTAAATTTGGGTTGAATTTAATCACAGATTTAATACAGTTCGAGATAAAATAGGTGCTTAACTGTTGAGAAAAGATCCACTTTAGTAACGTGCCCAGTGTCAGTGAGCAATCTGAGCAATTTCTCCAGGCTTGAAATGCAGATTTTTTGTACTCACAAGACGTAAATATCTGTAGTTAGATCGTGGAATAAAGCAGAGGCAGAGCGACGTCTGGCATTATTCATTTCTTTTCTTCAACTATTAACAATTTCACATTGTATTATTATCCGTCGTGGTTACGTTGTCGTCCTACATCGCAAGGATTCGTATATTATCCAAAAATATTAGCTCCAAAAATATTCCAATTTAAAATAAGAAACTTTTTGTCAACAAGGGTAAAATCATGCAGGTACCGTATGAAATATGAAACCGTATTTGAGATATGAAGTTTAGAAAATATTTTATCCCAACAAGGTAATTACTACATATGGGTATGTATGCAAAATGTATTAAATCTCTGGATATATACCACCAAACTGTATATACCATTTATGGTAATAGAATGTGATATGTCAAAATACTTATTATAGTACTTATAGATATAATTTTGTATATATGTATGATTTTTATATTATTAAACCACCCCTTTGTAAAACTCCAAAGTTGTATGTTGTGCTTCGTATTCAAGAAAGAGCGATAGCAACAGTACAAAACCCAACAACTGTACGTATATATTTGGCAACTCTGAATAGAAATATGTGGAACAATGTGAACGTATTATGACTGTTTGGAGGCATGCATAAGGCCACAGTGGCTGCTGCCAGTGTTGATGCCAGAAATGCAATAATCCACCAAGAACAAGACTGCATGCAAGCTCTGGCAGAACTCGTATAATGAAACACTTTATACATGTCGCTATGTACGGTATATATTTAACAACCTATGAACAGAAATCGTACTTTTAAATTTTGTATTTGACTTGATGTTGGTATTTCTGTTTGAATTAATTTTGAAGCATATTATAGACTTATTGTATTCGGTTTTAAAATTGAACATGGTCATGGATACTACTAGTGGTCTGGTTTCGACATACAAAAATACATTGAAATAAACATTTATAGAATAACATTTTCGAAAACCTTACAATATATACATCAACACAACTCACAAGATCTGAAGTCATCAACACATGCACGCAGTTCTACGAAACAAAAGTCTGAACTTGATCAACAACAAGAAATATATACGACAATTTGAACGATATTGTATTTGTGTACTATATATATGTATGAGTAGGGTTGATAATGAAAGAAGTATATAGCGTGCAGACGATGTTATGTGAAGCTACTCTGAATGGTGCGACACTGCGACACTGGGCAAGCTGAACATTTGCATGATCGTGGTGGCCATTGGGTCCATTGGCCAAGGAACCTGATTGGAACGTAAATGACGGGTACAAAATAATCATTTAAGATAATGTTGCGCACAATCTCTGAAGCAAACTGGTGATTTTAATGGTATACGATAATACACACACATTCATATGGCGGCCATTTTAACACTTATAGAAGAGAAGTAAATGTCAGTCGTTTCAATTGTACATATAGTGTACACTACAGATATACGTGATTTTTGCATTCTGTCTAGGAAAGAAATGTACTGAATCTCTCTTGAATAAAAAATATTTCACGTAATGGTAGTAATGAATGTCTTTAAGGAGCGTACTAGAAGATAATGTTCAATTAAATATAAAAGTGCTAGTGCGGGAAGAGATCATGAACCTATACTCTATAGTTTATACAACCACAACTGTTTGATACAATCTGCGCTGGTTCATGCGACACTGCACGTATCTATATTACGAGCATTGCCGATATTGGCAAAATTGTAGACAGTAAAAATGTGAAAATACCATTGTTAGCGCGCCGCACTGTATTACATAGAAACCAGGCGGACCTTGTGATGTAGAACGGCAACGCGGGAACGACAGCCAAGACGATTAATCACTCATTCAAAATTGTAAATTTGGGTTGAATTTAATCACAGATTTAATACAGTTCGAGATAAAATAGGTGCTTAACTGTTGAGAAAAGATCCACTTTATTAACGCGCCCAGTGTCAGTGAGCAATCTGAGCAATTTCTCCAGGCTTGAAATGCAGATTTTGTGTAAACAAGACGTAAATATCTGTAGTTATATCGTTGAATAAAGCAGAGGAAGAGCGACGTCTGGCATTATTCATTTCTTTTCTTCAACTATTAACAATTTCACATTGTATTATTATCCGTCGTGGTTACGTTGTCGTCCTACATCGCAAGGATTCGTATATTATCCAAAAATATTAGCTCCAAAAATATTCCAATTTAAAATAAGAAACTTTTTGTCAACAAGGGTAAAATCATGCAGGTACCGTATGAAATATGAAACCGTATTTGAGATATGAAGTTTAGAAAATATTTTATCCCAACAATTTATGAAGGTAATTACCATATATGGGTATGTATGCAAAATGTATTAAATCTCTGGATATATAGCACCAAACTGTATATACCATTTATGGTAATAGAGTGTGATATGTCACAATACTACAGATATAATTTTGTATATATGTATGATTTTTATTATTAAAACATTCCTTTGTAAAACTTCCAAAGTTGTATGTTGTGCTTCGTATTCAAGAAAGAACGATGGCAACAGTACAAAACCCAACAACTGTATGTAGTTGGCAATTCTTAAATCTTAATAGAAATATGTGTAACAATGTGAACATATGACTGTTTGGCGGCATTCATAAGACCATTCCATTGGCCAAGGAACCCGTTTGCGATTTACTTTGTTTCCATCCGCGCTCATTTAGTCAACTAGTAATTTTATTCAATATATGTGTCTCGAATCACTTCCAAAGTAGACGGTATTAATTTAAGGGTATTTAGCGTTACATGGAGTTTATCAGCCTCATCTAGAATAGTTTAGCCGAGTTCCGTTCGTATATATATATATATATATATATATATATATATATATATATATATATATATATATATATATATATATATATATATATATATTTACGAATATTAGTAACAAAATACATCTACTAATTTTAGGGCGTTGCACTGTGCTACATAAAATACTCATCGCGAAGGTGTTGGCGAAACCGGTTGGGTCAGGCTTGGAGATGGCGTGATGTTCAAAGTGCATGTTGCGTTGTGCGTTTGTGATTGGTCGTCGTAGTGCATAGAAGTTGACGTGCGAGCAAAACAGACACATATTATGCAAGAAACCAGCAAGACTTAGCGACTAAAGAGCTGACTAAAAAGTAAAGAATGACTATGCAATGACTATACATACATACAAAACTTTATTTAAACTATATAGTGACTGTGAAATTAATGACTATGCAATGACTATCTATACATGGGACTATGAATGACAATTATCTAATGACAATTATCTAATGACTAAAATGGCGAAGCACGAACTGAACCTATAAGCGAAGCTCAAAAACTAAGCAAAGCTCAAAAACTAAGCAAAGCTCAAAACCTATATAGCGAATCTCAAAAGCGAAGCGAAGCTGGAAACCTAAGCGAAGCTCAAAACCTATAGCGAAGCTCGAAAGCTAAGCGAAGCTCAAAACCTATAGCGAAGCTCGAAATCTAAGCGAAGCTCAAAACCTACAGCGGCCTACAGCGAAGCTCGAAATCTAAGCGAAGCTCAAAACCTATAGCGAAGCGAAGCTCGAAAGCTAAGCAAAGCTCAAAACCTATAGCGAAGCTCGAAAGCTAAGCGAAGCTCGCGAAACCCATAGAATGGCAGAATCCTCAACCGTACGCAAATTCGTACGCAAATTCTCTCCTCCGCAGAACCTTCTTTAAGTATTTACAAATAACTGATAAGGATGGGAAGATTGAATGCTCTTTCCATCACTCCTTGCGCGCTCACTTTTCCCTGGCAAAGAAACTTTATGTAAGCCTCTGCGAAGGAGAGGGGTCATCGAAGGTGTTGGTGAAACCGGTTGGGTCAGGTATGCGTCAGGTTTGGAGATGGCGTGATGTTCAAAGTGCATGTTGCGTTGTGCGTTTGTGATTGGTCGTCGTACTGCATATAAAGGTTGTCGTGCGAGCAACACAGACACATATTATGCAAGACGTCGTACGGTGTTGAGCTCCTAAATCGAGTACGAATGAGTGAAGATAAACATATCGTTCTTGTAATATGTTGATAAAGATAGGGCTAAGCGAAGCGAGTGCTAAGCGAAGCGAGTGCTAAGCGAAGCGAGTGCTAAGCGAGGCGAGTGCTAAGCGAAGCCGAGTTCCTTTCCTATATCGTAATGCAAAAAAGTGTGCGAGCAACACAGAACGTCAGAAGACGCATATTATGCAAGACGTCGTGTGCGATGTAGAGCTCCTAAATCGAGTAAGAATAAGGGAAGCAAAAATACAGCGAAGTGAAAGTATAGTGAAGTAAAAATATACAGAAGTGAAAATATATATACGAATGATGATAACTTTATTT